ATCCATCCATCCATCCATCCATCCACCCATCCATCCATCCATCCATCCTTCCCTCCCTCCCTCCCTGCAGCCAGCCAGGAGCTCCTGCTACCACCACAGCAGGTTTCTGCCCTTTTCTGGGATACCCAGAACCTTCCCAAGCACAAATGAGCCAAAACATTCCTGAACATGGCTCAGGGCTGATAAGGTCTCGTCCAAAGCAAATAAATGAGCCTGCCCACCATTACATATTCCATTAAGTATTAGGAAATAGTGCATTTTCACTCAGATAAAGGCAGCAGAGCCAGCCAGCACTGGGGGGGGAGGGGGGTAAGCCAGCCTGGCTGTTTACTGCTGGCTTTAGCAGCTGCCTTTGCAGGGGTGGCCCTGGTGACCTAAAAGGTTGTTTCCACCTCTAAGTGCATTAATCCTGACATTTTCCCTTTTCCCTTTTTCATGGTTGCACTGCCAGATAAAATCAAAGCACGAGAGACAGCTCAACAGAGGGCAGATACAATCTGTCTGGGCTGTTCAGGACCTGCTTTTCCTCTTGTCCCTAAATCACCTCACTTTATCAGAGGAATTCATCACCTGAACAAGTCCTGGTTTTGCACCCAGCCTGCCCCAAGTGTCACCTTCTGCCACTGGGGCTGCCACATTTCAGCCCTGCCCAGGTTAACTAATCCCTTCCTCCCTTTGAAGACTTAACATTAAATAACTAAAAACAATACATAAAAAGTCCAAAAATTCTCATGGGAAGAAGCCCAAGTCTTTCAAATGACACCCCCCCTGTAAGAACAAGGCCCCATAGTCCAGCTCATCTTTTCACAGGATCCACAAACAGCAGGAAAGAGCTGCCATTATCCATGGAACAAAACATGCCCTGCAGCTGAGTGTGGAAAACTCTCCTGGCTGCAGAGCTGCAGGGCTGGGAGCACCCAGGGCACACCCACACAGCTCCCTGCTGCCCCTCAGCACCCCCACACTCTGCTTTCCACACACACTGCCCCTCCAGGGCAGCACAAACTCTTTCAGCTGTGCCCCTGCTGAGGGACAGACGCTCCTGCAAGATCCCAGCGGGAAGCTCAGCTCTTGCATGGACATGCAGCTCATCCCAACAGGCCAGGGTGCAAACACAGCCTCCCAAAACCCCCAAATCAGGGAGGTGGCAACAGGTATTTCCACAGGGACCTGGATTCCTGCAGTGCCCAGCCCTGCCACACACCCAGCCCACTCTTCCCACACCTGGAGCTCCAGGAAGACCCAGCACAGCTGTTACAGGCATGTTTTATGCTATGAATTTATGGGGTTTTTAGGGTTTTTTGAGGAGAGCTGGTCCAGAGACTGTCAGAGACCATGCCCAGGGCATGAGTACTCCCCAAATCTGGCCAAACAACCTGCTCTCCTGCTTGTGCCAGTCTGAGTCAGAGCCACCCTCACTCCCTCAGGACTGAAGGGAACCTCAAAGCAGGGATTAACCCTCCCCAAAAAAGGCACCATGAAGGAGAAGGGAAACACGTCATGGATGGGCCCACAGACACATGTGGGGAACCACAGTTGTTTGCACTTTCACACTTCATGCTTTCATCCTGCCCCTGTTGGAAAGTCCCCACCACCAGCCCTCTCTGAGCTCCCACACACCTTCTCACCACGAGGTTCTTCCCTCTAGGCTCAGGGAGGGAAGATGACCCCACCCAAAAGCCCCAGGCTGTCCTAAAATGTGTCCTAAAAACATGAGGGACCCCACTGAAGGGCTAAGGGCAAGGATCAGACAGTGCCAGAGAGACCTGCTCATCTGCTGGGTGCTCTGAGCAGCATTCCCAGCACGTGGATAACTTACCCCCAGTGGTGTTGTCCTCTTGATAGACAGGCCTCAGCAGCTGTAAGACACAACCCAGACAGGACACAGTCACCTGCAGCAGGACTGAGGGAGATTTACAACAACCAGCTGCAAATTTTAACGTGCCAAACCCAGCCAAGCCAAAGCCCTTCAGAGAGGGCAAAATCATTTTTGCCCCGTTGCCAGCAGAAAATGAGATTTTTCACTGCGGTCTGTGCAGCAGAAACTCTCCCCATATCCTTCCCATACCCCAGGAGTGAGCCCTGAGAGTAGGCAGCAGGCTACATGGAATCATGGAATATGCTGAGCTGGAAGGAACCCACAGGGATCATCCAGTCCAACTCCTCACCCTACACAGGCCCATCCCCAAGGGTCACCCCCTGTGCCCCAGAGGATCAGCCAAACCCTCCTGGAGCTCTGGCAGCCTTGGGGCTGTGCCCACTGCCCTGGGGAGCCTGTTCAGTACCAACCACCCTCTGGGGGAAGAACCTTTCCCTGAGATCCACCCTGAGCCTGCCCTGACACAGCTCCAGCCATTCCCTGGGGGCTGTCCCTGCTCACAGGGATCGGAGCTGCCCCTCTCCGGCTCTGCCATCCCAGTGGGAAACGTTTCAGGAAAACAGTGAAAGTTTCACCAAAGGACACAGGAGTGGCTTGTAAAGCTGTCCCGTGCCCTTGCAAACACTCAGAGATGACACTGGCGGGACCAAAGCGGGGCCCAGAGAGGCCCCAGTGCCCACAGCCCCCCCCTGCAGCCCTACCTGGCTGCCCGGGTTCAGGGGCGTCAGGATGATGTAGTTCTGGTCGGCGGCCGAGGGCACCCGGGACAGGGCTGGCAGGGTGTTCTGGCCCCTCTTGCCCAGCTCTGTGTACCTGTCCCAGCCGTTGAGCAGCAGCCCCTCGCTGCTGTCGTACAGGACGTGGCAGCTGCGGCGCTGCTCGCCCGGGGGGGGCCCCGCGCTGTTCTTCTCCCGCTTGTGCGGGGGGCACTGCAGGTCGTAGGCGGACTTGCAGGAGGACCTGCGGATCATCCCCTCGTGGCCTGCCTTCACCTGCGGGACCAGCCTCCACACCAGGAGGATGATCTCGCTGGGGCAGTTCCTGCAAGAGATGGGGCAGAGGGGAGCGAGGCACCCGCGTCACTCAGCCAGTCCTTCCTCCCTGTGCCTCCGCCCCTGGCCTGCACTCCCCAACCCCTGCATCCTTTCCTCTGCTCCAGGGGATCCTTTCCCAGTGTCCTGCACCCCTCAGAGCCTTCCCCTTCCTGTAACCACTCAAAGCTCCCTCAGACCATGTCTCCCAGAGCCCTGCGCTGGTGTTTTGGGTGAACACTCACCGGATTTCGTGCGCCAGCTCCACACACTTCCAGTGCTCCACAGGCTGCTCGTTCAGCTGCAGCACCGTGTCCAGCTGCTGCAGACCTGCCTTCTCTGCTGGGCCACCTGGGAGAGACACACAAACGCCAGTCACCTGCTGGACAGCGAGCTGAGTTTGAGGGGGAGAAGCCCTGGGGCTTGGAGACATCTCACAGCTTGCACCACTCACTCCTCCAAAATCAATCTGTTGCTTTAACACCCACACCTGGAAATGAAGTGGGGCCAGGTAACCTGGAGCTTCACCTTCCAGCATCACACACACAGAGCACCAGGATAGAGCCACAAATGCTCTCCCAGAGCTATTGCAGGAACTTCCCATGTTTCCTGGGGTGCAGTGGGGAGCACCATGGTGCAATGGAGACACCAAGTCCATCCCACAGATCCACAGCAAGAGGATCTACTCCAGCAGCTCAGGGCTCCCACGACCCTGCTCCCTCTGTCTGACTCACTCCCAACTCAGATGCTTTCCATAGGTCTCCAAACCAGATGGACAGTTTTGAGGGTGGAGAGAGAAGGGAACAAAATCCCTGCAAATTACTGCAAAACTCTGTCAGAATAATGACAGTGTTAACCCAGGGGCCTCTGACCTCTTTAGAGGCAACAGAGAATTCATCAAGTGAAGTTTCTGGGAGGGAACCAGAGTCCTGCAAGGCATGGGAGCTTCAGAATCACCACATGCTCCAGGAAGCAAAGAAGGAGTGGAGTCATTCATTCAAAACAAGAGGGACAAACATGATCCGATCTCTTACCGGAGTCCACGGCCTGCACACGGACTGGGGAGTCACAGCAGATGGTGAAACCAAAGCCATCACTCCCTCGAGGGATCGTGATCTGCAGGGAGACACCAGAGCCAGGTAAGTGGGAGAGCAGCCCCCCATCACCCTCCCCCACTCTGCCCCACAGCCTCTGGGGACACAGGAACACGGCACTGCCACAGAGTGAGGAAGATCTGAAGCCATTGGAGAGTGTCCAAAGGAGGCAACGAGGATGGGGAAGGGCCTTGATTTGGAGCCGTGTGAGGACACTGAGGGCACTTGGTGTGTTCAGCTGCAGAAGAGGAGACTGAGGGGAGAGCTCAGTGCAGTTCCAACTGCCTGGGCAGGGGCAGAGGAGGGGCAGGACTGAGCTCTGTTCTGGGGGGAGCAGGGACAGCCCCCAGGGAATGGCTGGAGCTGTGTCAGGGCAGGCTCAGGGTGGATCTCAGCGAAAGGTTCTTCCCCCAGAGGGTGGTTGGCACTGAACAGGCTCCCCAGGGCAGTGGGCACAGCCCCAAGGCTGCCAGAGCTGCAGGAGGGTTTGGATGATGCTCTGGGGCACAGGGGGTGACCCTTGGGGATGGGCCTGTGCAGGGCCAGGAGTTGGACTCGATGATCCTTGTGGGTCCCTTCCAACTCAGCATGTTCCGTGATTCTGTGGTTTTGAGAAGGAACAGTCACAGGGAAGGGCTGTCACTGCCTGACCCTCACAAACAATGGGTCTCTCCCTGTTGCAGCCAAAGGGAGGCAGAAAAGCTGCTAAAAAGCAACACCAAATCCAGCCAAGGATCTATGGAATGCCCCAAAAGGAGTGTTTGTTAAGCACGCACAACTCTGCTCCCAACTCTTGCAAGTGTAAGGAAAGGTCTTACAAGCCATTAGGAAGGAAAACCTGGCAGTGTGGCTCTGATTTCTAACACAAGTAAGCAAGTTACTTGAACATTTCATTTCCTGTTGGACAATACAGAACAAGCAGCTCTTCTCTGCTCTGGAGGGCACAGTGAGGCTCAGCAAGCTCCTGTCCTCCAGGCATCTGTGCTGGCCCAGGCTGTGTGCATCACCCCCTCCCTGGGCTGAGTGTGTTTTCCCTTGCTGAGTTTGGAGAGGCTGGATGCTGTGTTGATTTAGGCTCATTTCTCCCCCTGATTCAAGGAGCATTGAGCTTATTAATAAAATGATACTTATTTTTTGACGTTGGCTTCCAGCAGCAGCTCAGCATGACAGA